ATGCAGAAGGATCACTTGAGCCCAGGAGGTGAAGGTTGCAGTGAGCCGAGATGGCGCAACTGCACTCCAGCCTGGGTGACAGAGTGAGACCCTATTTCAAAATAAAAAACAAGAAGGAACAAAAAAAGCACATTTAAAATTAGTATATTACCTCTAACCCATTATTCACAGACTACGTAAAAGAAAAATGAACTGGAAAATGTGAAATCTAATGTTACATAATTACTAGCAATTTTATTGTGGTGGAACCTGGTTTAGAATTAGTTAATATTTTACTTAATTAAATGTGCTTTGGAAAGAACTTGAAGTAATGTTTTTGTAATTGTAAACATACCTTAAGCATCTCCATTTCTAAATCTTCATCACTCTCAATTACATAGGATGTATCGTTTTCATTATTAGTGGGAGATAAATGCTTTAAAAGAAGTATTAAGCATTAATTTCCAGTATAATTGACTTCATATCCTCTTTTCTGCAGAATAAAGCTCCTATGTACTAGATATCTTTAGACAACTTCCTCTTCCCTAATGGATATATAATATATATTTACATGTTTATGTGATAGATAAAAAAGGGAGAGAAGAATGAACAAAGAAACAGAGAACCAAAGAGAAAGAAAGAAATATAGTTAGGAATACAAAGTTAGATAAAGAGACAAAATAAAATCCCTGCTCTAAACAAGAATACAAAATGACAAGTTCAACTCAGGTTAAACAATGTCAAACTGTGTCTCCCAAACTTTTTGAGTATAAGAACTCTTCACAACGTTGAAAAATGCCGTACAAAGAACAATAGTTGTTCTTTGACATCCACTGATTTAAAAAAGATTGCAAAAAACTACTATGATTGTAATATCTTTAAATAAATCAGTATTTTACCAATAGCATTCTCTATATCATTGAAAAGTAGTGTCAGAGATGTTATTTATTCAGTCTATTGCCAATGTTTGGGTATGAGGAAACTTTTCAATAATTTGGCAATCTCCAGGAACTAAGCGTCCAACAAGATGGGATTCCGCGACAAAAATCCATAGAAAGAAAACCCTCAAAAAATGCCAAATATTTAAACAGGAAGTAGGAAAAAGAAGTACAGCCTTTATTAACCTGCAAAATTTAAGCAATAAAAAAAACTGAAAATAAGCTTTTTACTAGGAAAAAAAGTTCTATTTTTTAAAAGTTCTTTTACTTCTTATTTAATGAATAAAGAAAACAATACTAATAATTGGTACCCAATAAAAAATGGCAATAATTGGTGTAAAAGATGTCAGCCAAATCACGAAATCTAAGGCCAGGTGCAGTGACTCACACCTGTAATCCCAGCACTTTGGGAGGCCAAGGCAGGCGGATCACTTGAGGTCAGGAGTTCGAGATCAGCATGGCCAACATGGTGAAACCCCATCTCTACTAAAAATACAAAAATTAGCCAGGTGTGGTGGCAGGTACCTATAATCCCAGCTACTTGGGAGGCTGAGGTAGGAGAATCACTTGAATTAGGGAGGCGGAGGTTTCAGTGAGCTGAGATTGTGCCACTGCACTCCAGCTTGGGCGACAGAGCTAGATTCCATCTCAA